AAAAAAATCACTGAGCGGTTAGGTAGAGTAGGTATCTCCCGTCTTCTAAACTTGGGCCCTCAAGACTGAAGAATATGACAACTGGCGTTCCCGTTGTCATTGCCTGTCGGGTCAAAATGCTTGAGAAGATGTGCATGCACAATTAGATTGTGCACTCTGTGTGTTGACCATGGAGGTTCACTTTCCTTCTTTACCTCCTTCCAATTAGACCCAGTCAGTATTCATCTTGTATCTTCTCCCTTTGTAAACATTGTATGCTTGGCAGGGATCAATAAGGTTCACTCCATTGTATTCCGCTGTAGGATGATGAAGGATGCTGTTTACCCGGGCTGAAACAAGTGTTTTTTCCACATGCACGGCAGCATTGTATTTGTTGTTTGGAAATTGAACTGTCACAATTATTTTTCGTCAACTCTTCGACACCCGGATATTCTGACTTATTCAAAGACCAGTGTCCTCAGTGCCACCCAACTTTAGGGGTAAGCAGTTTTGCTGTTGCCTGACTGAATAACAGACCAATGATATCGGGGCCTTACATAGTATGCCACTCCAAACCTCGGGGCCTTGGATTACCTGATTGCCTGAGTTAATTGTTGGTCCATGTGATTGAAGGGTTTACTCTCTGCTGTTTGTGTAGTTAGTTTACAGTAAAAATGATTTGGTTTTTGGTTAGTTTTGAGTGAGTATTCGGCCAGAAGGTACGTTATATTCACGGAAGAATTCATGAAAATTATTGGAAAAATGGTACAACGCGACATCTTCAGTCACACCTGGTCTTTTCCTTTGCCGATGCACCTCAACTCCTCGCGCAATCCAGTACTGTTTGTGGGTGAACGTGGTCATGGTGAAGCAATAACATAGTATGCTTTCTTCGGATATTTGTTGTTTTGTTGAAGAGAGATAGCTTGCTGGACGAAAACACATCTTTTCCTCGGGTATGATCACGGTCGGTGAAGTTGTGCCAATCTGTTCACCGCTAGACCATCGTAGTAGTAGTCTCCGGTCTCCGGTCCTCAGCACAACTAGTCATATAGTTCGGCAGATACGATGTGGTAGTTCCGTTGATATTTTATCCGAATTTCGCCACGGTTGTCCGCTGACTCCTGAAGCACCTCTGAAGTTGCCATTAACCTTACCTCAATAGCATTATTTACTCTGTTCTCAAACAGTTTCCCGATGTACAATGAATTTCCATATGCGAGCACAATTTACTCCATCATCTTATTTTGCAGATTTGAATACGGATTTTGAAAGTTTCGTTGGGAATAGTGAACCTGGCCACATGTGGCCTTCTCCTATATTCGACGCACCCCGAGTAACTGACTCAAATGCCGCAAACTTTCCGATTTCGCAACCTGAGGGTAACGCCGGATCGAACCAAGTGAGTTTCGGTTGTGAGCTGACCATACTGCTTTCTCATCGTCCGTTGTTCACGGTGGCTTATACGGTCACGTTGAGAGAACAAAATACTTTGAATTATGAAGAGACAGATAGCTTCAGTGCGATTTGAATCCAAGCTTACACGCCACCCGCACTTTTGTACAACTCACACTATCAGTTGACCTGCTAATTCATATCCCTTCCTAATTGACCCAAATATGAACAAACCAGTGTAGCCATTGTGACTCAGCTAGTAGAGCATGTACCGTACAAAAGCGTAAGCGCTATCCATACTCGGTTTGAATGCCGCCGAGGTCATTGATCTTTTTACAATTTAATTGAAAAATTCTTGTTATCTGTCAGAACAACATCAATTGAATGATGTCCCGATAGAGCAATTTTTGCTTTTTCCTTGACAGAGTAAAAATAGAGAATTCGTAAAGACTAAGGTTGCAAGGCAAATGAGTAGATGTACGAGGGCCACTGTTTGCGCTACAGTCATATCACTCAGTGTCTCTAACCGCCGGTTACGATGATGCCCGGGTCCACATCCTGTGATCCTGACGCGGCCTATGTGAGCAAGTCCCTTGGCTTAGGTTTTCTTGCCCTCATGCTAGGTCTGAGTCTGACCACCCTTTAGTTTATCCTACCCAGCACCTGCGTCGGAAAACAGCTCGCGCCGTGGCAACCTATTCGGTGTCATGCGCAGTACTCCCCCCCACCAACGACGTGTCAATTAGCAACCACGATTACCCGAAACTGCGCCTCACCTGATCATTGGTTATCCGGTTCCCCTCCAGACTCGTGCAATGAGGTGTAAACAGCGATGTGCCAGCACCTTCAGTCTGTTTTTATACTGTTTCCGAAATGGCCAAGTCTCCGCACCATATAGCAGAACTGGTCGAAATGCTGCAGCGTACACTCGACCCTGCGTTTTGTTTTTTTGTTTTGTTTGTACAATCATTAACCATGCACTATCCTGCGCCTGTTTTGGTTGCTCTCTTTTGGCTGCCCATTTGGATGAACCTGAGGAAAAAGATAGGGAAGGTTGAAAGTAGGATCGAAGAGAAAATTTAGGATTTCATTCCACTATTTTTACAGAGTTATTGACAAGATGCACGAATGCCACTGTTTGCGACATTCAGCCATATCGCTCAGTGTCTCTAACCATCGGTTACGCTCATCCCGAAGTCACCATCCAAGGAGCCTAATGGAATCTATGTGACCCAGACTCCTGGTCGGGGTCTTCATACCCTCATACCAGGTCTTGGCTTGACCACCCTTGACTTTCTTCCACCCACAATCTGCCTCGGCGAACATCGCTGGCCGTGGTAACCTATCTGGTGACATGCGTAACACATGCCTCAACCAATGTAATCTATAGAGGTCGATCACTTACTCCAGTGAGCGACCGCATCTACCTAAAATTCTGCTCCTAACCCCAGCATTGCTCATCCGGCTGCTCCACTAGATTTGTGCAATGTTGCGTAGACAGCGGTGTTGGAACCCCGACAGTCAGTCTTTATCGTGTTTTCTAAATGGCCAAGTTTCTGCGCCGTATATCAGAACTGACCGAACTGTCTCGGCATACACTCGACCCTTCTCAGACAGCCGGATGTCGCGACGGCGCCACAGATGTCTCAAGTTGTCAAATGTCAATCGAACCTTCTGTATGCGAGTTGACACTTCATCTGTGATGCGTCCACCGAGTGAGATGTACCCGCCCAGATAACAAAACTTATCCATCTGTTTTATTACTTCCCCAGTTAGAGTGTGGCTGGGTGCAGGACCAACCCAGTTTTGTAGCAACATTTTACACTTTGAAGGTGCAAAACGCATACCGAACATGGATACACCAGCACTCAAACTACCCAGGAAAGCTTGCAACTTACCTGGATCTTCACTTAGTAGCACAATGTCGTCTGCATACTCTAGACCAAACAGTCTGTCACCTGGAAGTAAATCGATACCACTATCCTCATACAACGATAGGGCTGTATGAAAAATTCAATTTATCGCCAAGGTAAATGGAAACGGAGAGAGAAAGATGCCATGACAAACCACTTTCTGTGGTGAACTCGGGCGAAAAAGTGCCATAAGCCCGGACTCGACTTCGGCTATTGGTATAAAGCGATTGTAATATTCAAATAAACTTCTCGGACACACTTTTCAGGTAAAGGCAGCGCCAGAGTTTAGAGCAGTCGACTGAGTCGAAAGCCGCTTTCAGATACAGATACGAAAAGAATGCCGGTGCTCCATAGTTTGGCGAAGAGTGAAGATATGGTCGACACCATCTCGACCGGGTCCAAAGCCAGCCCGGTTCTCACGCGTGCACCCTTCACGTGCGGGAGACAGCCGACGGAGTATGATGCCAGCGAGAAGTTTAGAGACGCTGTTGATTAAACTAATTCCTCTATGATTTTCACAAGAGGATCTGTCACCTTTATTGTAAATCAGTATGATCGCCGACTCATACATTCAGCTGGAACCTCTTCCCTTTCCCATATTGAACCCAGGAGTTTTGTTAACTCCGAGACTAAGGCTGAGCCTCTATCCTTCCATCCTCCATCCATGAGGCCGTATGCCTTTTTAGATAATTTATTTCATGGGAAACCTCCATTTCAGATTGATTACTGATCTCAGCTAGCAGTAGTTATTCGGTTTATTTAAGGGTTGATCGGCCTAATGTCGAGGGGCGCTAGTTGAACTGAGTCACAAATGTTCAACTTATCGTTCAAGACGGCTTTGGCAACTGTGAATCAGCGTACAGTGAGACTCCTTACTTACCTTTAATTACTTACACCAGCTTTCTCTGGTCCCGTACTGCGAATTAAAAATAGCGACTGTTGCCAATAACCAGTCTTTTCCATTTCCGTACCTTTCACTATCCACGACTTCTCGTGGTCATTCCTCAGTCTCTTGACGTTCGGCGTTTAAGATATTTACTCATTTTGTCATATTTGGTATTAGGATGAATAGTTCTGCGAGCAATGAAGGCAACCGAGGCCCATCAGATCCGACATCAGAATCGGCCGATTTTTGATTGGCACTGGGCTGGCGTAGTTGATTTGCTTCTATCTGTGTTATCTGATCCCTTCTGCTGTTAGTTGAACTAAAAGGCGACTAGAGAACTTCGCTTCTAAGATAGATTGGCAACCATCGCTGACATCGCACGCTGGGTATCCGTTGTCGATGGCTTTATTGTTATTGTTTTCCGGCGTAAGGAAAATTCGGGCCGTAACAAAGCGTGGCCCCTATCCACAGGTGTTGAACAGTAGAAGCAACGGTCTTGAATTCACCCATTTCAGTGATAAGTGATGACGACGTGGTCGCTTATGATCGGTTGTCGCAACGGCATTGTCTTAAGAGTCTGATATCGGCTTTATCGAGGGTCTATCGTATATGGAAACGCTAAGAACACCATTCAGCAATCAATCAACTGTTTCATCCCTCTGGGTTATCTCGATCTCGAATTGATC